ACATCAAATTGAAAAAGTCGAGGGGGGGGGAACAGAAGAGTGTTTCAAAGATGTAGGAGATGAACACAAAGGTAGAAAAAAGGTGAGGTGAGCACTGTGAAAATTGTTGAATATGGCAGAAAGGCTCAGAAAGGGTAAGATGAGTACTGTGATAGGGGTCGAATATGACATACGGGGGGTGGGGGGGGGGGGATGGTTGCTTGAAGTCTGAAGTCACCTGCCAGTTAATAGACTTTTTGCTGTATGAATATACGTTGCCCAGGGTGCACCACGTGGAGGTAAGTCTATCGCACACCTCAAATTAAGTAATGTAATGAAATGAGACACGTTAGAAACCGACAGGTTTGGTTTTTGGCGATTGTTGTGTTGATGAGGTAAAAGAGGTCATCTACTTGTGTGTAGACTTTATGAGGCAAGGGGATTCAGCATTTGGCATTACTATCTGTTTTAAGGGTACTAATCCGTTAAGTCGGCCTAATTTTTGTCAAGTTTCTATGGTCACGAGGTCATCGAAGATAAGATGTTTAAGTACGTCGTCAGAAATTAACCAGAAAAATAAATTTCTCCGCAAATTAGGATATTCGCGTTTCAAGAGTCTTGAAAATTTGGGTGTGTTCAAATTTGAAAATAAATTATAGATTTGTTTTTTTCAGGTGTATATTAGGGTAGCCTGTTACATTAAAAAACCTATTTGAAATAGACGGGTATTTGTGTGAAATGTTTAGAATTAAGGTTAGTATTCTCGTAGATGATGAGTCAATCTCCATATCTAAAAGTTGTATCTTTCAATATTTCATCCATTTACTCATTCGTGAAATTCGAGTTAAAGTTTTGGGGATTGGTCAAATCCCATTGGTTAAATCTGATTTAGCAAGAGGGATGCTCAAATTTTAGTATTTCGTCTTAGTTTGCTTTTTTAATGAACCATATTTTTTCAGACTAATTGTTTTTAATTAACGATAGTTTAATTTCAATAATTAATCCGTAAAATTATTAATAAAATAATTAACAGGTTCAGTTGAAAGAAAAATATATTTTGACTAGATCAATTCCCTGTGTTTATTAATTTCTTCCCTCCATTGGCTTTGAATTTCAAAATATCATGTATCCACGGTGATCAAATTTCAGAAAATTCGAATCTATGAATTTTGTGGAGCCTAAATGTCTAACAAGTCTACTTGGAACATGATTAAGTATTGGTTGTTAAGCATACGAAAAGTCATGCATTTCTTTAAACAATTGCACATTGGATTGACGCTGACGCCAACAACCTCCAGTGAATAAGTTGAATATTCAATCGATATTAGTATTGATTATTAGTAATTATTTTTGTGGTGTCATTCAATAGAATGATGAAGAAATTTACCATTCAGCATCTCTTATTATTGGCATTGCTGAATGCGATTTTTCATATAAGAATTTAGGTTTCAAGGCAGATCAACGAAATGAAGAGGAAATTTTTTCTGTGAACATTTATTTATTTATATCAAATGGCAGGCTGTATGATAGTTATCATTAGTCCTTTAGTTGACTTCGGGCTTCACAGAGAGGAGGAGGAACATCAAAGTCACATAAAGTCGAGAGGGAGGGGAACAGAGGTGCGATTCACAGATGTTAAAGAGACAGACACAAAGGTAGAGAAAAAAGGTGATGTGGGTACTTTGGGAGTGCTCGAATTTGACATGCGGTCGTGGCGTTGTTGTTTAAAGTCAACTGCCGGTTTATAGACTTCATTTGCCGTGGAGTTAAGTCTATCGCCCACACCCTTTTCTATTAACTTGATCCTTGTACCAATTCCAATTGGCCAAAATTTGGGGGAAAGTCGTGTAAGGCTTCTCAGAGAGATATCTTTCCAATCTAGTAGAGATCCCTAACCACGCACCATTTTGTTCACATGGGAATTATAATGCTTGCCTTGTAATTATATATATTTTATAATATTCTCTACTTCCAGCGAATCTTTGTCCAAAATAACTTTGTCAAAATGACATGACGGAATATTTTCTTTGCATTCCTAGAAACTCTGCACCCATGTTTTCAATGACCGATGAGGGCTTCTATGTGACTATTGCCGAGTAGAACGCACATTCTCACAAGCCCCACACGTATTTTAACATGAAATTTCTCATTAATTTAGTCCCCCCTCGCAAAAGGCATGATTTCCAAGCGACTTCCTGAACAAAGTCGCAAAATAATGTTGACTTGTCTTTCCAACTTACCGATGATTTTGTCAGAGAGAGAGAGAATGGGGGGAGGGGAGAGATGGTTTTTTGTAGATTCCAAGAATATTTACTTTTTTTGGTCGTTGACAACGTTGTTTCGATTCTCCTTTGGAATTTCAGGGTTGGGTAGTTGCAATCAAATTAGCTAATTTCTAGCACTATTCTGTGATATAAATGCCCAAATATGCATGGAATTTCATTCTATTTCCTTTTTGTTTTGTCAGCAAAGACTGTTGGCATTCTAACTTTCATAAGCAAGAACACGCAAAAAAGAGAGGCTGTCGTCTTTTTGTTCACCGTTTGGGACTTAATTGGGCAAATACTCTCCCTCTCTCTCCCTCCTTCCCTCCCTCTCCCTCTTGTGAATTCGATCATTAACAGTTGGGGTGGAATCCGTTAGGCATTTCTTGTTTAACAGTAGTACAAATGAATTAGGAAAGTATTTGGACAGAAAAGGAGGCTGAGTTGTTGCAAGAAGGAAATATATATATATATATATATATATATATATATGTATATAAATATGCATTTCGGGTTTGGATGAAATAGAAAAGTCCAGCAAGTATATTTTAATTGAATTAACAAATCACATTGAAAAATTTGACAATTTTATTTTGTTCAAAACGTGATAGGCAACCCATATTTTCAGGACTTTTCACAACTTCTGAGAGAGAGAGAGCGAGTGAATATTTTCTAAATTTTATTACCCTCTAAGAGAGAGGGAGAGAGAAAGAGAGGAAGATGACGAAACAGGAGGAATTTTTGAATTTTTTTGGCATTGCACTGACCTATTTTGCGAAAAGCACCATTTCAGAAATATATTACCTAATCCATGCGCCTTCGATTGACAAACCCGTAGTATTCAAACCTCTTGTCAACTCTAGAGCAGAACTAAATTTGGGTGAGGACATTCTTGCAAATAAACTCGCAGACTGCTGAATTCGAGATGCCGGTCAGCTTTCTGGGATACTTGAAGAGTACATTGAAGTCACAACGCTAAAAATACTCATAGTGAATTAAATATATATATATAAAGACTCAAGAAATTGGCATGATCTACCCTTTGTCAAAATACTGTGTTAAGTACGTAGTTGGCATAGTGGTGTATTTCACAACAAAGAAAATAATTCTTTCAAATCCTTCAGATTATTTTGACATAGATTTATTGTTAATTCCATGAGATTAAGGGGAGATTATTATCGAGTGTTTGGAGGTTCTAAGGTTTCGCTTATTTTTTTTTCGCAAAATTTTAGGACGTAAAACATTTTCATCCAAAACGTACTTTTCACAAAATCTATTGCTTCTTAATTGAAGATTTTAATTTGGCATGATTTATTGTCTCAAGTGTTACTCGTGAGAGAGGGAGGACCTAATTTTGTAACAATTCAAAGCAAAGAAGTGTTAACATGCGTGAGATTCTTCCACCAACGATGAGTTTGGAAAGAAGGATTCATTACAAGTGGAGCCACATTTCTATTTTCCGGCATTTAAAGATCGGCTTTTTTTCTGCTCTTGTCACCAAAACTAATAATTATATTATCAAACAAAGATTGTAGAGAAAATAACAGTCTAGAGGTGGTAGACTCGAGCTATTTCGTGTCCCGGGTAAATGGAATTGTCGTGTGAATATTTATCTATTTATTTATCTCGAATGGCAGGCGTTTTGATAGTTATCATTAGCACTTAAACTGACTTCGAGCTTCACAAAGAGGAGGATGAACATCAAAATGGCAAAAACAAATCGAGAGGAGAAAAGTAAGAGTGATTCACACATTAAAAGAGACGGACGGACACAAAGGTAGAGAAAAGGTAAGATGAGTACTGTGAACTTGGTCGAATATGACATACAGGGG